TACTTGTACTGAAGTTGGGTATAGAGCAGAAAACTCTGCAAGTCAGTAATGCTATTTCTTTCGGTCTGCCTTTTCTGGCAAAACCATCATCACAAGCAGGCAAATGTAAGAAGTCTTCATACAAGCGCAGAATGACACCATAAGAGCAAGAAACAGGGAAGAAATGAGAACCCAAGCTTATTTCATCTGTTTTTATCCCAGTGTTCCTTTTGAAGTTTATAAAGAAATCACTGCTAAAAGATGTTTTTTAGTCTAAGAATTTAATTTCCGAGATTAACAAAAGCTCTCAACTGCATCAATCAGACAGACAAGTACCTGAGCATTACTTAGGTAGTGCTTAGGGTATAGCTTTAGCCATCTTGACTTATGTCACATTAGTCTTCCACGCACAGGTCTAATTCTCACGGTTTTCTTCTTGAGACATTTACGGAATAGCTGTCTCAGCTAACTACCCCATTTTGTCTCAATATAACCAGATTAAAAAAACTGCCATAAAAAGCATAGACCTTAAAAGGCAGGCCTAAGCTCTACCAAACATCACACTTTCATTCAGGAGGACTGGATATTAATTGCTAAAAGAAAACATAATATCAAAATAGTAATTGAAAAATAAAACTTGATAAAAATAGAAGTTTAAACTGCTGTTTAATCAATGTTTGTATCAGATTATCATAACTGTACACCAAATATTAAAGGACTATTTAGGACTAACGCCCTCATCAGTAGGCTCATCTAACAGCATGACCAGAACACGAGAAGATCAGTGTTTAGCTGACACTCAAGTACAGCACGGCTCCAAAGCAGAGGAAATATTAGTATCGTAGCACAGAGAAAAACAGTGGTTAGAATATAATACACTAGATTTGCAAAGTTGGTATCCCTGATGATTCTAAGAGAAAGAGCAATCTAGCTATCGTCAAGTTAACCACCGCTTCTGAGCAGAACATGAAATAATTTGCATTTCTAAGAAAAATTAATCGAAGTTTGGTAATCAAAGTTTCCCAAATTTTCCCATGTATGCCGCAAATTCAGTGGGATCTGCACAACGTATCAGTATCGCTTGTTACACAGTTTCTAAAGTGCGTTTCATCCATTTGAGAAAGTAATAAAATACCAGTTGAACACAGGGACTCACAATCAAAGAAAGTGTTCTCAAGCGAAGCACAGAGCAGTGAAAATTTGTCCTTTCCATTTCCGGCTCGCACACATTCACAGTCGGGTCACAGGCGCTGGTCTGCCCCGAGACAAAGTTCTCTACATACCTGACCACCAGCAAAAATGAGTAAAATTACCCTTGAGAAGTCTGCAAAGTTCTTTTATCTCTTGACCGGAATTAGCAGTTTTCATCCTAGTAGCGTCAGGTGGTACATAGTCCGCTACCTCAGAACAGTTTATTTTGCCAATGAGGATGGAGAAAACATGGATTTATTTCAATCAATTCAGCATCCTTATTCACACGCAGGTATTAGAAAACAGTCATTTTGATCAATGAACACCAGTCCTGTGTTTCTTGAAGGACTTACTCAGTTTTCCAAATCTGTCACATTTGGATCTGTTTCACAGCGTTCCACTATTTCATGTTTCCATTTCCTACATCATTTGCAATGCCAACTTATTTACTGTGCACATGTATATCTGCTTAAAAATCAATTTTATTTATCACCAAGGAATTCTTTCACAGATGAATACTTAAATCACCACCCTCTGAAATAATACTTTATTTCTAATACTAGATAGAATTAATATTTCAGTTAAAGAAGTATTGAAATATTCACTACAGTAACAAGGAAGGGAAGATCTGCATGCCAGCAGTACCTGTAATGAAAATGCTGTTATCAGAGTCAATTTGCAGGCATTTGGAGGGCTGGGGGATGACACAACACTGAGTAACACTTGTATGTAACACATAAAAGTCAGTTGCCAGTGAAATGCAAAAGATCCAGTAATTTAAAAAAAAAAAATTAAAAAAAAAAAGCAGCTACCATCTCGAAAGCTATTGGTAGTGACAGTAACAACGCAATTCTTTGCTACCCACAAATATGGTACCAATATCTAGGAAAACATGTCTAAATTTCTGCACATCATGTCATTAACTGGAACACCACTGCAAGCGCACAGCTGTCGATACCACTGCAGTACAGGCGACAGCCCTTCCGCAGATTTTTCTGATCTGCAGAAGAACAAGGGCCAAGAGAGACAACTAAAACACTGGAGATTTCAGCCGAAATAGCAGGAAGATTTATATGTAACTGAAATCCAGGAAGGGGGGGAAAAAAGCAATAAGCAAAGACTAGTTTCAGTACATCAGAAGGCATGAAAGATTTATTGCTGAAGCAAAAGTCTGAATATGACGTCGTATGCGGCAGGAATAATGGTTATAGCATAGGAGCACTTGAAACCAAAGCAAGACCTTTGTCAGACTAATGAACAATTTGGGAGCTGGAATTCTCAGAAAAGGTACTCCCCTCCTAAACAGCAACCGCATCAGAATGAATATACCACAGGTAGAGGACAAAAAAAGTCGTCATCTTTTTCTTTTTTCTTTTTCTTTTTTTTTTTTTTTTAAAAAAAAAAAAGCAAAGTAAGAAGTATACGCTAATACAGCCAGTCAACCCAGACTGTTGACACCTTTGAATACAAAGGGAGTTCTGAAAGCCATTGGTAATCCCGGTATTCTTCATATTCTGTCTGCAAGGAATTCTGTCGAGAAATGAGCATCTAGTCTGTTACAAAAATAAAAAATAAAGGATGCATAAAAATTGCAGAAACTGCCACTTGTTTTTAATCTCTTAAAATTCTGAAAGTGATAACAAAAGAAAAAAATGGGTTGAAGATGTAGGCAGTTTAGAAGCAAAATTTCACAACCAAGACATATGTGAGCAGAAGTCTGAGGCCATATCAGCCAAGACCACTGAGCAGGTCTTCAAAAGGAAACAAAGTTCTACTCTTGTATGTAACGTTATGTTTGCTAAACCATTTTCAAAGATTTATTTTTTCAGTCTGGACAGGGCCTACAATGCAGAAAGCTGAACCAGAATGAATGATCAGCATACAGAGCACCAGCACACAGATAAGGTTGGGGGTATTTTGTTTCTTGTCTGGGGCTGGGTGGCGGGGGAGGGTGTTGGGGGTTTTTTTGGTGGTGGTGGTGTTTTGTTGGTTTTTTTTTTTTTAAGTAAACTAAACAGTTTGGGGTTTTCTTTTAAAGACAAAAAAAAAAAAAAAAAAAAAGCAGTATCTGGCAAGGCTGGTTTTGATACAGCTGGAGCCTTTTGCTAACCCACTTGGAAAGCTGCATGCTTGGTGCAAACTACAACCTGCAGCTCTTCTCTTCTACTGCTCTCCAACGGCTGGCACAGAGAACAGAACGGAAGGCTACGTAATTGTGTACAGATGCTCATAAAGCCAAAGAAATTAGGGATGGAAGTTTCCAGATAATCCAGAAAACACAAAGGGAGCCGAAACCCCATTTCTATCAGGAAGGCTCAAATTCTTACATGAACCAATTAGTTTTTCAAATCAGAATCTGCTAGAGCAATAACTTACCACATCACACATGAATCATTTGCTCATGGCGTGAGGGGAAAGCAAGATCCCTGAGGGTGCACAACTGGCAGTAATCTCTTAGCCAGCATTAAAGAAAATAGCAGTAAGACTTAAGGACATATTAGCCACATCCAAGAGATTCATGTTTCTATTGCTTCTCTAATACGTAATTATGGCTATGTAGGAGTAATGTTTAGCAATTCAAATACTGATTTAATTAATAATTCCTTGACAGACCTATTTTACATTTAAACCAATCAGGGCACTCATCCATTAAATGGCTGATTTTAGTGCCAGGCATAAGTACACAGCAACACTTTGAATTTTAACAACCTATAAGCAAAAAACGTTTGTAACGAAAGCGTCTCAGGTAGTTGAATTGGACATCACCTGGCAGTCACATTGTTCTATTGCTACAAACGAAGCCAAAGTGATTACTAAGTGCATCAAAGGTTATACACTGGGCACATAAGGATGTACAACTTTCAGAAAGTTATAGGGAAAAATACAAAAAAAAAAAAAAAGAACAATCAGAGATACAAAGGGCTTTGGAAATAACAACAGGCCTAGGATCTTAAGTTTTAAATACATAGAGTTGAATGACAGGCTGTAGGGCAGTTTACTGCTATTTGTAGCTACCTGAAAAAGAAATATCATTCAGATGTGTTTGAACTATACAGTAATATGTTACACAAAGAATTAAATAAGTTAAATGACAGAGTTTTTGCCATTACCACATCAGATGCTAGCTAGCCTTGAAATCCTCTTCCCTCAGAACACAGCCTAAGAGAATTCCAGTGTTCCATAAGCAGGGAGAGAGGAGAATGGTTAACTTGGACACCACTATTATTTTCTTAATGAAACAACTCTTGCTTCCAAACTGGGACTCGTGAGGAATCCTCCTACTAGACACATTGGCAAGTATCTTTATTGCCAGGCACTATCAGCACAGGGAGCAATTCAAATCCAAATGGGCCTCAGTGAATTACAGGTCACTGCTAAAGTTGAGGCCTTTACAGCTTGGCAAGTAACCATTTAAATATTCTTTTCCTTAATTTTAGTCAGACAACTGATTTAAGTTGAGGGGGGTTGCTGGTGGTGGGTTTTTTTAATGTGAACTGGAACTGTCTTCCCTGTGGCTTGAGCAGGGGGCAGAGGGAAGCACAGAAGGGAGCTTGCTCCCGTGCACCAGCTCACCTGGGGAGGCACAGGGCCACCGTGTACCCTGCTCCCGGTGCCCGCTGGGTGCCCAGCTGGCCCCACAACAGGGGGAGGCTCGCCTCTCTGTTCCACCTTGGCATCTGACAGCAGGAGCTTGGGGAGTGCCTTTCGTGAGCAACTGTAAGGAATCCTGTGAAGGGAGGACTGATTTTGCATTCCGACTAATGTTCACTTACAAAGAATGCCTCGGCTCTACCTCGGTTTGCTACAGCTCCTCACCCCACAGCGGCGTAAGGGCATCCTATGCGTTAGTGCAGGTAGAAACATAACCATTTAGAGAGGCAGTTTAACTGAATGATTTTTTGCAGACCCAAAAATAAAACCAATCTGTTATTATGAACCTTTATTAAGCGGCTCACATTTCAGTATAAATCACACTAAAAAGATTTTTAAAAAAGATATTTACACTACAGTGCTGACACATTTAAAATGAAAAAATTGGTATAAATAAGCTCTATGGAAAAGCCTGGAATTGTCAAAAAGAATTCTGGCTCATCTTACAAAAAATATATATGTTAAATGTCAGCTCTACTCTAAAACCTATAACTCAAAATTATTTAAAGACTTCTTTATGTTAAACCTGCAGTGTTTACAGTGCATCTGGCCCTAAGTGCTTTGATACTTCACAGTTATGGACAGGCACTGAGGAATGTTACAAAGCTACATAACTATTTTCTGTAACAGATGCGAAGGCAAGTCACAAACTTGCCTCACAGAATTTATGAATCTTTACATTATTACATCATTAAGTTTAAAAAGGAATTTAAAACCATATATACAAATTCAGCACAAAAAATCATCCTCTCTTTGTCCATGCAGTTTTGGATATGATGAACTATGTTGTCTTGTATCATCGGGATGTACGTGACCTCCAGGGCATAACTTGCCTTGTAAGTCCTTGTTGCCAGGTTCAAATTTAGAATCCATTTCCAACTTAAACGCCGTCAATTCAATGCGATCCAATCTAGTCTGAACATTCGGGCCCCCAACGTCATTAGGTGCCACTGTCTTTTCAGCAAGATCAACATTCATGGGTTCTTCTTTCATTCGGTGAGATGCAATAGGTTCGTGTTTTATCG